CACAATAGTACACAAAGAATGGGTGGATAGAAAAAGACTGATGTCAAAAGAGGCAAATTTGTGCGGGAGAATAAAGAATTTGAGGATAAAGTTTAGTGCAAATATGGAAGCATTAGAAAACGTTAAAAAGTAAATGCATCTGCGCCACTGCCACGGATTTTCAGCAGTATCATAAACAGTTATCAAGCACTGATTCTTATTATCTCGTGGACCGTGGCCATGCAGTCCAGATCGCTCCATACAGCTCTGACTAACTGTTAGGGATTTCTCAGACCGGTGCCACATCTAGATCTGGTCACCCTGAACCCTCCCTTCCAATCTAATCCAACTCCCCACAAAATGGCATGAGCGACCAAGGAAGATAGTGGGTCGGCATATGCAGTACATATCCAAGCCATATGTCTCCCAAGAAGGTTCACAATCTCATCAATCGACTCGCCCGACCTTAACATTTCTCACACATTGATTCCTCGAAACGCGAGCAATGTTATAAAGACACTTATGATGAGAACTCTGTAACCTCTTCACGTCTTCTGCTTATAACAGCCATAGCTCACAGTTATGTGGCAGGAAGAGAACAAATGTATTCAACGGCTGAACAATGAGACCTAAAGCATTTAAAATTAAATGCATTACTTACATCCAATAAAATCACTAGCTACTGGGATACACATTCATAAAAACTCCAGTCGACTTCAGTTCAACATCACATTTTGTTTCTACAGTAGTAGAACTGTGGGTCATTGGTCTGGGGCACCTGATTTTCGAATGATGGGTAACAAGCTCGAATCCAACTCCATCTACTGAGATTCAGGGGGTCAGATAGTACCATTAGCCGTCATACAATAAGGTGTAGCCCATTGCCAACTATACTAATTTTCACAAGGTTGCTGATTGGATTTCTATCCTGAACGTCAATAATTCCACATAGTTCTTATTATACAAATCTTATGGAATGAACCATAACCTCATAGATTTCTCAAAGAAGCCAGAAATCTCTTAAAAGATTTCACGACTGACCGCTGAACAACAAACGTTAGTAAAGTACTACTGTGTCAGCTTCAGATTAACTAGTACGACAAAATCGATAGGAAGTGTCTTTCAAGAAAAGTGTTGGAAATAAAAAGGATTCTCGTTAACCAAAATACAACTGTGACTAGACTAAGAGTTGAATGCTGTAGATGAGTTAGGAGAGCGCTAAGTTGATGACGCAAAGACCTCCAGTTCAAGTTCTCACACCAAAACATAATTTTTGATTCCACCCTCAATCATAATCCGCAAACGAAAAGCATTAATGCGATTAGCTCAACTTAGAAATGAATGAAACGTACTCAACAACGTTGTGCACACTCGGGCGATAGGAAATGAGCCACACCTACTGTATGAGGGCTAGTGATACTATAAAGGGTGTTGTTGATCAGAATGGATATAAGTAGTATATAATGAGAGGGCGGCAGCAATCATAAGGAATTACCATCAATGGATAACGATTCTGCCCAGAGAAACGCAAGAGACGATGTGAGCATATCAAGAGCAAATCAAGATAGAAAGCAGAAGAGGAAATGAAGCACATTATGCAAATGACTGTCTTAATGTAAGGTGTACAATATTTGATGACTACAGTACAAGATGTCAATAATAAACATTTCTTCCTTCGTCTCCATCTTCTCATTTCCTACCTGGCTGACCAAACCTCTGTAAGTGGAGCTGGATTCGAACCCGTGACCCACTAGCTGATAGTGGCCACTCTAAAACACTGAACCACAGTTTCACTTTGCCACAACTTCAACACTTATTAGCACAGTGCAAGAATGGAACATCAGATTGCCGACAAAAAACACGTGGGTTCCAAAAATCTTTGATTTCACGCCAAAATCCAATTAACTACGTCAAATTTTAAAGGTTGGAAGTCTATGAGTAGGCAAACATACCAAATGTTAACAATATTTATAACAAACTCAAAATAACGAAACCTGGCGAGTAACAACAAAGGTAGACCGTGGAATTGTGCCCCTTGAACCAGCAGAAAGACAAATAACGGTTGTGATACAACAATAATGTGAAAATGTTGAGGCTTGACAGCAGGTGAAGTGGTAGGTACCACGATTATTGTGAACTTCACATACAATTTGCTTAGTAGATCCCAAACTACACCACCTATACATCAGTAAAGGAACATCTGACCGCCTAACAAAACGTGAATAAACTGAACAACAGTATAGTCAATTTTTCTTTGAAGATAGTGAGGTGTTCGATAAAAAGTGTCTTAATATCACTAAGTAGAATTAAACAATATTGAAGTTGCACGCTGAGCACTAAACAAGGCAGGTAGGTTAGCTGTCAATAGACATGAGCCTACATCGATTGAATTCATCAGTTATCTTATATACACCAGAAATCAAAGTACAAATAAAGTGGGAAATATTTGCGGTGAGTGGATAGCGACATAATACTTAACCATGAACTGTCAATTTGAACCATTCAAGAAAGTGAAAACTTTTAGGTTTGACGTACTGTTATAAATCTACAGTAAAAAACTGAACGTGATAATTTTTTGGTGGTTTCCACGCTTCAAGGTTTGTTTCTCGTCAACGTTTTATCACCAGGCTTCCGCATAAAAAGTAAATGTTTGATGATGAAACGTCAAAAAACAAAGCTGAAAGCCTGTACAACATGAACAACAATCATTGTGATGATGAAAAGCTACAAATCTCTTCTACTATCTCAATAATGCTATAAGTTTCAAAACAGTTCAGAATGATACTAATAAATCTAATTTTTCAAGTTGTCATTCAACGTAGACTGACATCAGTTGAAGGAACAAAGGAAATCTGGGAGCACTGGACAGCTGTTTCGTCCCAGCATGGGAATCATCAGCAGTGCGCACTCACGACCCCACTGCGTCAGGGATCGAACCTGCGACCTTCAGGTTCAGTGGCCAGCGCATTACCATTGAGCCACTGGGTCAGAATCCAATCATCCATATTTCCAACTTCTGTTAGCTCATGATATAGAGCGACCGCCGCCACCCGATGTCATCGTTGAGTAACTGTCCTCACGACCATCAGACTTTGCCCCCACCGGTCACGACTTCTCACTGGAACTTCGGGAATACCTCTCGAAGCTAGTCACCAATGAGCATCAGTTCAATTGAATTCTGAGGGAGTTGTGGGGATTTGGAAATATTTCAAGTTGGAAATATGGATGATCAGATTCTGACCCAGAGGCTCAACGGTAACGTGCTGGCCACGGAACCGGAATATCGCGGGTTCGGGCCCTGGCGGGGTCGTGTTTGCGCACTGCTGAGGAATCCCATACTAGGAAGAAAAACCTGCCCAGTGCTTCCAGATCTCCTTTATCCCTCAAAAAAAAGTAATAAGTAGTACATACCGGCTAAAAATAAAGTTGAATCTCATCGGTCAACAGGCTCACCATCAAACAATCAGTGTATAATTACTACAAAGACAGACAGTTAAAACAAATTAATTTAACCGAAAACGAATTTATTCAACCTTACAGTTTTTAATATTCATATAACAATTAAATAAATAAATTAAAAAAAATTTTCTTTAAACGTCAAAAAACAAATACGAATACACAGGACAACTCAATGTATGGATTATATAAAAAATGTAGTTGATTAAATGAACAGACAATGAAATTGAGACGAATTCACAGAGATTCCATAGACGAAGAGAATAATCGAAATTCAGATTGAAGAGAAAATTGGATAAAAAATATCTTTAACACAATGGAATGATAAATTTGAAAATCCAACTATGATAGAAAAGATGAGGATGTGTAGACGAAAGCAAAAAAAAAACACAAGTGAGAAACTGTTTTCATAGGATTTCAATCCCCATAGTATGGTATACATACTATATATAATTTCAACTCCATTGAGTGAGCAGAGCAATGATATAACCAACGAAAAAAAATTGACCGACAAACATCAATCATGAGAATATCAACATCCAGTTGGAATGGAGTAGTGTAGACGCGGGAAAAATCATTATAGGACACAGAATTTGTTCCGATTTCTCCCCAGAAATAACAATTTCGATACTATAAACTTATCGAATATTCTAACCATTGAAACTAATCTTTGGTTTTATGATTGTATATTTGCTTAAAAGTAGACGGATGATAAATAAACTTTCATGAGTAGGAGTAGTAGTATGTTGAATAAGGCAGCATAGTATAAAGTTCAACAAAATCTCATTATGAGATGAATAGACAAACACACACACACACACACACATTGATAAGGGTAGTACATAAGTAGTATGTTGCGCAACATTTATTCAGTAGAAAAAGAAAATGAGATAACACAAAGAGAATGATATCATTTACACAAGTGTATACAGATATCCCATTTATGATGATATTATATTAGATAATGTGTATATACGTAAACATATGTGCGGATGTTTGTGTGTGTGTGTGTGACGGAGAGAGAGAGAGAGAGAAAGTAAGAGTGATTATCTGAATAGCATAACAAAACACATTAAATGAGTATACATGTATGCGAATACCTACATAAAAGTACAGTTAACAAACAGTCACTGTGGGCACTGGACACATCAATCAGTTGAGCAATTTATAGGAGTTTGTAAACCAGTTTCATCTGTCGGTCAACACCCATCCCCCCCCCCCCCCCATACCTACCTATACGAAGTTGTTCACACCAAACTCTGGAATAAATCAGGAACAGATAGTGGTTTCTAGTGGATACTAGTTTTCTTTTTTAAATCATACAGATATCTATAAAAGATGGATAAGATGTATCGAGAAAACACTGCCAAAAACAAAGAAACGAGGAACGTACCTGCTCCTCACCTGGCTATTATAGTGCAATATACTAAAGTGTATAGGATACTTAATATATTCATATCAATGAATATCAACACACAAAATGGAATGATGGTAAAAAAAAAGGAACAAAAAAAAATAAAAGTAGAGAAGGAAAAAGGAAAAGGTGACTTCAATAAAATAGTCATTCAGATTGAATTTTGACCACATATACTATGAACAAAACGTTCATAGTCCAATGCGTCAGAATCTCCCAATGGTCCATTCAACGTAGTCATATTCTTAAGACAATATTCAGAATTATCGGCAGATAGACGTTCTTTGATATCTTGAGCAGTGATGTAACCCTAGAGTAAAGAGAACAAAATAAATCATCATCAAAGGATAGTGGCCTAAGTGAAATAGAAAACACCACACAAACACACAGTTCGAACTACTAAACTAACTAATGAAACGGCCAAACGCAGCTCACATGACAAGACGTAGCCGTTAATATACTGATGAAATGAAGCCTAAGTGTATGAAACAATAAAATGAAACAGGCTAAGATCATAGCCCCGATTCATCAAACTTTATACTTGATAGATTTCTTTGATACAACACACAGTCATACAGTATTATCTACTGGATGACGTTTCGTGTATGGGTTACTGTTAATAGTTGTATCTAGGTGTGCTTTATGCAGAGCTACATTATTCTCCATTCTGATTTTACTGGTAATACAATTTTACAAACATCTGGGATCAGTGTTAAGTCATTCAACACTCATAGATCTGGGCCCATCATTTTCATCAGATGGGTCACGGATTCGAACCCAACCCCAACAATGTTTAGGCAGTCAGATAGCATTAACACAATAGGTGTAGCTGCTCATTGTCTACTGCATGAAAGTGTGAGTACTTCGAGGGTTGATTGATTCTTATTGAACGTGTGTGATGTTGACTAGATGAAGTGACCGAATTCCCCCTTTGTTCTAATATATTACTTTTGATACTAAACCGGTTCACCAGGTGTTTGGTTAATTTCTTCTGTGGTATTTGATAAATTATTTTGTTTCAACCGCTTACAAGATCCTTAGATCAGCAGAAATTAATCTCTGAGTGAATCCGCAGATCTAAATGTCACACTAATCCCAGTCTCAATGAAAGACATTTTGTGCAGGGGGTTTCTGAAGTGCATTTCTTATACGGCAACACAATGAAGGTCTTCAGCTCCTTCCTTATTTAATGTATTTCAGGCATTTCTCATATAACTGCTTTGTCTTTTCTTAAGAAGTTCTATGAATGTCAGAGGATAACTATCGTCAAGTAGTGGTCCTTGTCTCTTTTTTTTTTATTTCCTCATTTACATTTTTAGGCTAGTTAGACGCCTGGTTTGATTACTCAACTCAAATGTTTAACTAAGCCTATCTTAATTGATGTGGGGTAGGATAATATAACGTCTAGACATCCATTATAAAGCGATGGCTTTCTGTCACCACGATCACTTCTCCTTGATAACTCATAAGTAAATTGAATCATTTTTACCAGTGAAGTATGGATATACTTGGATTTTAAAATAGTAGATGTTTTTTTATCCACATACCTTCACCATATCTTACAAAGAGAAGGATTAAACATTCTTCTAACAGATATACTTTCCTGACGGTTCATAACTATATCTGCTAGCACTAGAGATTCTGGCGATCTCATCTCTGCTCATTCGGTTTTTCTATGTATTAAAAAGGGAAGATAAAAAGCTATATAAACCAAACAATATAACTGTGTGACCACACTGGTATGATTACGGGCAATAGTCTATGCACGAAACGTAATCCAGTAAATAATACTGTATCATCGTGTGTTATATCGCACAACACGCGATTAAAATCTACTACAGAGTTGTTCCATGATTGGTACTCAACGATGCTGGGGCTAATAATAGACAGTATAGTGATTGAGTGTGTTGACCACTTCACTTTCCCGAAAAGTAGGATCAACCCTGTACTAGTGGCTCAGTTTCCGATGAAATCTCTGCACGGATACGAAAGACTCGGTTGGCTTTCACCAACTTACGCCATTTATGGCGCTGCCGTCATATCTGATTATCTATTAAGGGTCGCGTGTACTACACACCAGTCCGGTCTGTCCTCCTGTATAACTATGAAGCATGGCCATTGAAGGTTGAAGACATGACAAGACTTCAGGAGTTTGACCACCGTTGCTTTCGTAGAATACGCCGTATCCCGTGTTGTCACCACGTGAGTAACGCAGAAGACAGGAGTAGAGTTTTAGGGAGTAGAGGTAAATCAGTTGGCGAGGCTATAAACCTTTATAGATTGGGATGGCTCAGACAAGTGTTACGTATGCCCAGTTGACGTCTACCTCTTCACACAATGTTGGCCGAAGTAGGTTCAGGCTGGAAAAAGGCCCAATGTGGCCAGATGAAAACATGGCATCAATGTACGGCGTGTTTGACTGTTAGTTTGAACCATGTGGGATGATGCAGATTAGCCGGTTGGCACCCATGGGACAAGTAAAACCAAGAGTGGTTGGAGACTCTCGGTGATCGCACTGCACAGAACCGATTTCAGTGATGCAGATGTATACATGCATTATCCTCATCTTAATGACGCTATACCGATTCTCACCATTTTCTCATTCTTCGTTTCTCTCTTCTCGTACTTTACATTTCTTTTGACCGAATTTTCTCATCTTCATCTTGGACCTCAATGCCTTTTTACTGGATGTACTGATATGAGGTGCGGCAAGTCGGAGGGTTACGCAGTAATGCCTGGTCCTATCTTGATATTGATGATGCTGATGACAGAGTTTAATCTTACAACAAACTTTGAAGTTTGCCTCCTGTGATAGCAAACTACTGATGTGACAATACACCTAACAATCTGATTCTCAAGGTCTGCCTTGAAATCCTCTGTACATAGACAAAATATCGATGACTCTACAATTCAGTCTTTTTCTCTCCATCTCGATGTTCTCTCAAAGCGAAAAAATTGGTCGATAAAGAGGAATTTGTCTAGGAAAAGTATGTGGACAAGGCAATACACACATATTCTCAGCTTTGTCCTCCTTCAGTATAAAATAAATTTAGTAACGTCAAGTTGTAGAAAAAAGACTATATGTTAGGAAGATACAGTTGAAGAGGGACTGGTGACTGCTTAACGTACTCATCGAAAATGGCTATCCTGATAGATTCATAAAGCGACATATGGTTACAAAAATGGCAAGAAAAGTTGTTTCAACGGTTAGCGGAAAACCGCTTTATAGTTTGGAGTAGAATTTAGAGGTGACGTGTGTTCAGCAAGATACTAATTCATAAACTACGCAGATCGATTCAGAGAACTTTTAATGCTAATAAATTAAAATTTCCGTTTTCCACAAGCCCAATGGTGACTCCGAGATTGAAAGATGAATTGTCTAGACTAGCCACTTGCTGCTGTGTTTATCGTTTCGACTACTCCTATGGATCCAGTTACGTCGGCTTCTGCTCTAGGAATTTAGTTTTCCGTGCTCGCGAACAACTCCCTGTGTGAATCTATATTAGAACATAAGATCTTTTTTGGAAACGGATAAGTTCAATCAACATGCTTCAAGTATTACACATTTTCTTCACCATTTAAGATGTTAGAGACAAGAACATGACTGCGTAATTCCTTATGGATTTGACTGTAAAGTCATAACAGTGATAAGAAGCAATCTAAATGGAAATCAACATTTGGATTTCAACTTTTGTTTCATGCTACTGCGTGGTCAGGGAAAACCTTATTGGAAGACTTTATTCTACAACTGACCAATCAAAAAAATATTTAACTTTTGACCTAATGGTTTCATATGTTCATTAAAACTGCACATAAATGGTGTATTTTTGTCGAATGAATTGTCTTCTTAACAGTAACACACTGCTCTTTGTCTTGTAATTTTCGCGGTTGAATGAAATATAAGGTTCTGATGAGGAAGACAAGTCACTATGTGTATCCAGCTCAAGTGTCTCAACGCATATTTATATCATTTTATCCACTCGATCACTTCAGAACTAATCACTTAAAACGCCTAAAAATGAATTATCAACATTTGTCTTCCGACAAACACAGCTTGTGAACATCTTAACGCTTTAGAGTAAAATAGTAAATAAGCGAATAACAACCCAAAACAAATATAGTAGAGTTAAAATACACTGAAATAATTTACCTTATCACCACCTAGTGTTTTGAATGATTGAATCAGCTGCTCTTCTGTCGCCTCATCGACATTATCACGTGTCATAAAGTTCAAGAATGCATCGAATGATATAAAACCTGTATGTCCAGGATCAACTTCATTGATAATACGCGAGAAGTCAGTTTCCGCCTGAAGATGTCATAAACAAAGGCAAGAAACTCTACAATCAAAGTGTATAACATTAAAATTTTCCAGAAGGCAATTAAATGTTATATATATAATTCTGAAAGTGGATATGATTTCGTAAACCTATGAGTTAATAATGCAATGGAAGACAATAAACATAATGCCTAATCCTCTTATTTTGTGTAAAAGATCCAAGTTTTTCTAAAACTGAATACTCATACATGTATATACACACTGGACGAATACAACAATTCAAGGAAGTAATAAAGGCTTGACTGTGAGTTACATCACTTAAACTCTTCCAGCACAGATTTTGGCTGTCATACAAACTCTAACTGGGCATTTGATATTCCCTATACTGATCAGGAACGGATATCATGTGCTTTAGTCCGGCCATTTTAAATCTTTTCCCAACCTAACACTATATCATCTAACATTGCATGACGACGCATACCGTGGCTAGGGGTTGTGTAACATGTCTCTCTTAAACACCTCACTTGATAAAGGTTCACTTCCTCTTTTACCTAAGACTCTATGTCCTGTGACACACTGGGATAACTTACTCAAGTGTTAGAAGCAATAAGTCACAGATAGAAACTTTGAGTGCAGTTTTCAAGAAAACATGTTTTCTCTTGAAAAATAAAATGACAGTGTCAGATAGACAGATATAAAGTTTATAAGATATTTTACTACTGCCTATCACTTCATGTTATCTAAGTTTATCCATACCAGCAAAAGGAAATGAAGAGCTCACTTAAATTCAGAAAAACAGCACAGTATATTTTACATGCTTTAAAATGATTGATAGATTCTCATTAATACTCAGAAATAGACAAAATGAAATTAGTTGCTATCCAGAGATCAGTCAATGTATCTGATCCAGTCATACGACAGTTCAATCGTGTCCTGATTACCTCAGTTTTTCGACTAAACAAATAAAAAGTCACATATTTAAAAAATATTCTTCTTCTAGAAAATCCATCAACTTACTATATAATCAGGTATCTAGTGTGTTGCTTTAGGAAAAAAATACAACCTTTTCCTCATACCAATGCTAAGGTGTGAAAATGTTTAGGTGGGTAATCTCAACCCTAACTACTCTCTCTCTCTCTCTGGAAATCATCTGGTGGACTTGGAGAATGCAGACGATATTGTTCTGCCAAATCAAGACATCGATAAAATACAAGATCTTAAGGATGCGTTGACCAGAAATCTGAGTATGTTTGGCATGCGTTTCACTGACACCTGTCAAATGTAAGATGATTTCCTAACACTCGCCTGCAACTATTCCCAATTCCATCAGCTTGAACAGGTTGGTTGCTGACCACATCTCAAGTCGGATACAGAAGGCCTGTTTGGCATTTGCCAACCCGCGTCACCTATAGTGCTGACGGGCAAGATACCCCACTACCTATTAAAGAACGACTATATTGTGCTGTAGTCCGTCTTCTCTTGTTATGTATTGCTTGGGTTTGAGGGGATCACTATGTGAGCAGTACTGAGGTAAGGTGAAGAGTACTAGACAAGATAAGCAAGTCAGTTGATTGAGTCATGAACCTTCTTCAGAAACTGAGATGGCTTGGATACGTGCTGCATATGAGGAGCCACTATGTATCTCGACGTGCCATGATAGGCTGTGGAAAGTTCGATTAGGTTGGAAGAGAGTTCAAGCTAGCCAGATCAAGACGTGTCTATGAAGTCGTTGACTGTTAGTGTGAGTCATGTGCGGAAATGAAGACTGCCTGCTTGGGGTCCCCGAGATGATAGGAATCATTAGTTGATGATTCTTGGTGACATGGCTGATAATCGGTCACTGTTTGACGTCTTTCTTAAAGCTTGAATATTTGCACTGTGTTATCTCCAGAATGTTCATCCTCTCACACAACTATGTCTACTTTGATATCCCTCCTTTTTTCTCTACTTGTTCTTTATATACTACTGTGAAGCGTAGGAACGTAAACTGATGAACTTGTGTGGAAAGTTCTATGTTGATTTTGTCTGTCTGTCTTTCTGAAGTCATAGCCTTCACTATTATACTATTCAGCTAACAACTGACGCTATTTTGGACTAGATTATATTCACAAATTGGACAACAGTGACTACCAATGTAGCTGTCCTTAAGGCTTAACATCTATCATTACGGACTAGACAGTTACATTGGTAAACCACTCGTTACTAATTCGTATATAGAATATTATTTTTAGGCAGTAGTAAAATGCCTACTTAATAGGACAAGTAATTATTACTTCAACACATAAATCACGCATTGTCCTGAAAAAGTCATATCGGATTTTCCTCTAATGAAATATGGTTGTATTTAACACCAACAAATAACGAGAGTACTGGATGCAGTTTGACTATCAATTCTCATCAAGTCACTTAACTATTTTATGATTATTATTATCATTATTACTACTACTGAAGCTTTTCAAGTGAAGAAAGGAGATAAAGAAACACCCAAAATGTGTTTTCTAGCATTTAAAAAACAATAACAAAACAACAGTGCCAGGTTAAGCTGATAGGACAAAATGCTAAAGGTCAGTTAATACAGGAATTTTTTGGCATGAGAGAGAGAGAGAAAGGTAGACAAAAAAAGATGATAAAGGGTCAAATTCATATACCATTCAGGTATGAAAAATGGGCCAAGCAAAGATAACGAGCAAATGACTAAGATGTCTGCTCCACATGCTTATGATGTTAAGTAGACAATGACCTGAAATGAATTTGTACAAGCTCAATCAGAGTTTGTATATACTTTATATTTGCCACTATGTCTACTGACTCTTTTTTTGGCAAAATAATACAATTTTCCTTACAAGCAGGCTGAGAGCTAAGCAGTTATCAGAAATCTTGTATTTCAACTAAGACTAATGCAGTCTTCATAAGTAATGAATTTAATTTGATGTTTGCTTGATGGTTAGCAGTGGAACTCGTCAGCTGGATGTACCTGAACCCCAGTATCCACCGTGTTATCTACTAGATCACGGGGTCACGAGAGTCACCGCTAACGAAACGGGTATCAGTTGTTGTTTATTGATACTGATTATTTTCCGTCGCTACACTGGGTCGAGTTGTTCGACCTCTTTTGGCACATGGGCTTCTATCGAATCCCTCAAATCCTTCTCACAGTTCAAGTCAAACTTCGTATTCACGAAGTGTGCTGATATTTTATGCGATCCGTTAACTAACATGCTCAACAGATCGTTTTTACAAAACACCATGCCAGCTGACTGGAAAGATAATCAGATATTCTAGGACTCCAGGTGCATGTACAAAATACCGTCCGATTGCAATTACCTCTCCCTTTTTAGCGATGACGTTTTGCAAGACAAAAACTGACCAGCAAGACATCGTAGTCATCTTTGTAGTTCGGCATCCTAAGTGATACGTTCATCTTATCGATTCAAATACTCCTTGGACTAACTCATATATAAAATAGGGGAATAAAACTAACTACGATCAAAACTCAGGGTACAAACATTAAGGATACATGCTTCACTACTTTCTGCACGAAAGCTTGTAGAGACAATCAATATAGACAGTCTCTTTTTTTATTTCCTATTTCTTATTGCTTCTGGAAACACGCTACCAACTGTAATATGTTATTATTAACACATACTAAAACAGCTATTCACACTCCATCGAATTTGGAACACAGACATGCTTACCAACGCTCGACAAAGGCTGCATTTCTTCACCTGAAGCCGGCGTTCAACACCGTCGGTCGAGAAGTATTATGGCAATGTCTGTCAGTGAAAGGTGTACCAAGTAAGTACATCACCTTATTAAAAGCCCGTTACTGGAACACCCGCAGGCGTTTTACAGCCATTGGTGGGATATCAGGTGGATTGTGTACGTTGAGTGATGTTCGCCAACGATACCTACTCTCTCCATTCTCATTCAATTTTATCACAGAATTTCTTATGGATGTCTCCCTCTCGTCGTCTGACTAAACAAAGATTGACCTATTCACAAGGGAATTTTTGGTAGACCTAGAATACGCAGATGACATAGCCCTATTAGGTGAAGACGTTGACAAGATGCAGTCTTCTGGACACCTTGAGTGGCAATTTCACAATGTTTCGGAAATGTTTCTTGCCACTCAAATGCAAATCGTGGCTCCTGGATTGGTCTTCCACGGTACCCCTGAATAACAATACAGAGTGAAGTGGTTGACCGCGTTGAATACTTCATCTACCTGGGAAGTCCGATCAGACCTGGTGAATCAGTCAGTGCCCGACAAAATCTCTGCACATATTTGAAAGGCTAGGTTGGCTTTTCCCAACCTACGCTATCTGCGGTGCCGCTGCGATATCCGATTATCTATTAAAGGTTGAGTGTAGTGTGCTGCAGCACGCAATGTTCTACTCTATGGCTGTGAAACATGACCATTAAAAATAGAAGACATCAAAAGGCTTCAGATGCTTGACCATCGTTACCTTCATAGCATAGCTAGTTTTCCATGCTGTCAACAAGTGAGTAATGCACAAGTCAGGTGTAGAGTTTTAAGCATGAGAGGTAAATCACTTGATGCTGTTGTGAACCTTCATCGACTCAGACAGCTAGCTGGAACATGTCTCACGTATACCTACCTAGCCACTGTCTCCCTCCTCACACAATGTTCGTCGAAGTAGGTTCACGTTGGAAAAAGGCTCGCAGTGGCCAGAATAAAACATGGCATCAATGCATCAACTCCTCAAATGTTTGATTGAGCCATGTAGACTGATGCAGATCAGCAAGGTTGAGGTGAAAGTGACAACAGAAACCAGTGGTTGCAGACTGGAGGTGATATGGCTGAGAATCCATGTCAATCGCCCAGATGTATACACACACACACACATTATCTTCACTTTAACCGTTATACTTAATCCCATCATTTTCTCATTCCTCCTTCTTCTCTTTCACTACTTTTTAATGCTTTTGACTGATTTTTTTTTACCTTTCTTCATCTTCCATTTGATTGTCTTGTTAATTGATGTGCTGACGACTTGAACCGTTATGCA